GGGGCGTGCGGGGCGGCGGGAGGTCGCGGACCCTCGTGGGTGCTCTGACCGGCCGGGCGGTTAACGCCGTGCCCTGGGGAAGGGAACCCCCACGGGCTGGCCCCCTCTTCTGGACGGCGGGGAGAGGGGCTGGCCCCAGGCGGACGTCAGGCTCGACAGAGCAAGCATAATGGGAGAAACTTTGAGGGCAAAATGAATTTTTGAGCAGCTTAAATATTTTAATTGGGTAGCGGGGCGTTGATACTGGACCTGTGCTGCTACGAGCAATGCGATACGCTTCCCTCTGATGAACAGCCTTGCTTTTGGTCTTTGTTTTCGTCAAGCTAAGAGCACAAGGGTGAACTACTTTGAGAAAAGGTTTTGCTCTTAAAGCGGCCGTCTGCTTCGCTCCGCTGAGGAGCTCCATTCTCTCTCAGGTTGCACAGCTCTGACCCTATGGCAATTCGGGAGCACTGCTATACGGTCCCCAAAGTGAGAAGGGGCACCCACCGGTGTGACAGGGCGTACCGCCTGCCCCTGTGCGTGTGCGGAGATTGGGAATACGTGGAGACTGGAATTTCGCAGTGCAAACAGAAAGCTACCAAGCAATTGCCTTAGCGGCTTTGATGGTCGAGTCCATTCAAGAAGCCAAATGACTGGAGCTTTTTCCTAGATTGTATGAAGACCTTAAGTGCAGTGTTTTCAGGGGTGCAACAGTTGATTTAAAAAGCCAATAAATAAGAAGAAAATGTGAAGCTGGGTTGCTATATGTACCTATTTTGGCGCTTACAAATAAAACCTTTGTATTCTGCCCTGCTTTTACTGTAGTTTTCCAGTTGTAACCTCCTCCCTCTGCCATTTACAGCAGCACTTGGTAATAAGACCACTCACAATACTGTTGGAGCACCAGAGAAGCAGGGGTAGAATAGCTGTCCAGGCAGAGGGCTTGCTTTGGAGCATCAGAAAAGACCCTTCCAAGTATAAGTGGCTCATGGGTAAAACTTCAGCCTCAGTACCTCCACACTGATGTATCATCACTCAGTGCTGCTGGATTGCATGGGCTTTTTCATCTCCCTCAACAACTTCAATAAACCCATGAATACAGCAGGGGAATTTTGCCTGTACTGTACTAACGGCATGCAGAGTGATCTAGTCAGCACCACTTTGGTCTTAATTGTATGCGTCTTGTTGTCTCATTGTTTGAGTAGTTCAAGATTCAGGGCCTAGTCTGTTAACTGCTGTCTGTGTATGTCTACCTGTGATGCTTGTATGAATTCCCTGTATGGGCTATGTGTAAGACTAGGTCCTTTAATTTGATTAACAGAAGAGAGTTGAGCTCTTTTTGCAGTTATGTTTGGTTTTCACACTCAAAGGAAATTATAGTGCTTATCATTCTCTTAAGAACTTTATAAATGCTCCACAACCCCCGTGATGCCCCCGTTTGTTATACTTGAAAAGAGTAAGAAGAAACATTAAAACAGTGATTTGCTCAAGGTTTTAGAATTTACCTGTGCCAAAGCTTTCACTTAGATTCTAAGAGTTTCTTGGCTTTATCTCTGTGCTCTGACCATGAGAAACTGTGTCTTCCATGCCTGAAGTACAACATTTAGATAAGTTCCATAATTATGAAATGCACCGAGAGAAAAAAGTATTAGGTTGTATGAAACTTCATTCTCCTCTCCCAATCCAACTCTTAATTGTAAAATTATTTTTTAATGAAATGCAACTGTAACTGTACATTTGTATATATTTCTTTCAGATTTGCAACCAACATAATGCTGAAGCTCCCAACTTGGAACAAGCATTTCACAGAATGGCACAAACAGAACCTAATCTGGACCATGATGTATCATGGTTCCTCCTTCCATCATACTGGGCTAAAATGGTTGTGGCATTAATTTCCTTCCTCTGTTTTGCTAACAGCTATGATGGAGATTTTGTCTTTGATGATTCTGAAGCCATCATCAATAATAAGGTTTGTCTCTCTTCTTTCCCTTGTGCCCTTTGACAGAAATGGTCATAGGAAAAGAAATAACGACAGCAGTTGATCTAAGTAGGCTCAAAATATTCATCCTAGTAAAGAACTTTCTTCTCATATTCCTTTTTTTTAACTTCATGTTTGTTCTGTTATTGTTTGTTTTTTTTTAAATAAACCTTATTTAAGGTTGACAAACAAGCTGTGCAGCAGTGCTCTACTGAAAAGCTACAAGCATAAGTATGCTTAACAAAATCTTATTCCTGAAGCTATTTGAATAACATGACTTGAGTTCTAATGCATAAACAAAAGAATGAACAAATTAAACAGCTTTTTTTTTTTTCTCAGAATATATCCGCTTTCATTCTTTTGCAAGTGAGATGCTCTGTTTAACAAGCGTTGATTTGTGGTCAAGGGGAAGGGATCTCTTTTTGCCATACCAAATGGACTTAGTCTGCTTGTCATCTAAGAAAGCCTTATCTAGGGTTGCAGCAAATTTGTATGTGATGTTTAGTAACACTTATTCACAGGGTACCTGTACATCAAGACTGCCTATAGATCTAATTTTATGCTCGTTTCTAAGTCAGTGAGAGTATGCAGTAGACTTTTCTAATACCCGTTGATGTTAATAGGAGATTTTTTCATTATCTTCTCAGGGTGACAGATGAATAAGCCCAATGAATAAACTTACTCTGGTTACAAGATACATAATGCATCACTAAGCAATTGTAGGATGCAGGGGTTTATACCATAAAAATGTTACAGGAGCAAGGAAAGCTTCCTTTTCCTACGCTCCTTCCCCACTTACAGTTCCTGTGACAACTGTATTTTTTTGAAATAGAGGCAGAGTATTCTTGTGCTCTATTTTAAAACTGATCATACATGCAATGAACAATCCTTGAAATGCTTAGAAATTAATGTGTGACTTGAACAAACCTCTAGCTGAGATTCTTCTGACTTTGACTTGGAGGAGTTGAGTGTCTTCAATTGCTGAGGCACTTCACAGAATCACACGTGAGCCTGTACTCATGGGTGGGTCTTGGTGTTACAGCTCTTATGCTGTTCTGGAAGGTACTCATTAAATGTTTGGAAAGAGAAGCACAGGGTAAAAAGAATCTCCCTCATCTGTTGGCTCTTGTTTTCACGAAGTCGTGGGCTTACAAGGAGAATAATCTGGAGACTCATACTGCTAGATGAACACAATTCTCATTTTTTTGCCTTGCACAAAATTTAGAGGCAACTTATCACTGTGTGCCTTTTAGAATCCCACAGAATTACTGTTTCCTTAGGTAAATTTGTATTATGCTTGTGTAAGTCATCATACCTTGAGTTACAAATGTATGGGGGGAAAATAAATCTGCCGAATGGGAAATCAATCTCAGTTTCTAAGAGAATACTACAGACAAATTAAGAACCTACAGTGATTTTTTTTTTTTATTATTTTTAAGATGCATTATATTTTAAATTATACAGCACCTGGCAATGTTTCATTCTGCAAAGTTTTTTTTGGGCACAACTAATATTTTAATTTCCTGACAGAATGAACAAAAGACTGATGTTGAAACACGGCAGGTTATTTTGTTCATGTGCAATTTCCACACTTGTAATCTTTCTCTATTTCTTTTAATCTTTACTTTCAAAATGTTTCAGTTTATCTATGCAACACAACATCCTGCACCAGGATTATAGCTGTTGGCAACACTGAGAAATTCAACCAACTGCTTAAATAGATTACCTCATACCTAGTCTGTATGTTTGAAAAACTGTGAGGCTTATTCTATTTTTCACATCAAAATCCTCTATTATTCCCTAGAAATGAAATGAGATTTTTGTGACAGTATCATTTTAACACAGGGGTCGTATGAATATATGGAAATACAAAATCCACAAGAAAAACGCAGACAGTGAGTTTACCAGTTTAATGGGGAGGGAGAACATCTAGCAAAAGCACAGTTTATTAAACAAAGTATAGCATATTTTATTCCAATAGCAGAGACAGCAGGTGAAGTAATTTCGTAGATTTACTGACCATTACTATACCAGTATTTTCTTGGGTACCACACAGTGACCTTTTTTTTTAATTAATAGCTACCACAACCACCCCAATCTTTTTTTTTTTTTTTTTTTTTTTTTTAGCAAAGGGCACACTGTTAGTTGACCCTATGCCTACTGTATCATGGAGCGTTCTGTTATTAGATTTTCTTGGGGTTCAAGGCTGTTTTCCAGATGTGTTCTTGTCATTTTAAGCAGCATTTTAACTGGTACACAGCTATGACTTTTGTCTTTATTTATTTACTAGCTTGGCAAGACAAACAGTTGGATTAAGAGGAGCTTCAGACACAATGTGTCATTTCCATAAGCCTTTGTATAGAAAAACTGACCTTTCTTTGAGTACTGAACTCTGCTCTCTGTAAGCTGCTACTAATCAAATATTTAGAGATTCTTTGATATCTACTTTCATTTCTTAAAGAGAAAATCATATATAACTTTTAAACAGCTGTGTCTCTCAGAGCCATCCATTCCTATTTTAGGGTAAGTCCACCGAGTGGCAAAATAAATGTAAGAAACCTTTTTTCATGGAACTTGGATACAAGAGCAAGATACATGACTGAAGATATTTAGGTCACATGGAAGTATAATCTAATCACTGAGTAATTCCATGTATTCAGCTTTTCCTGCATTCTTCCTGTGGAAGACAAAAGATGACTGATTCTAGCGGAAAGGGAAATCTAACCTTGCACATCTCAAATATATTTCCCATCTCAAGTTATTGAACACCATCTATGACACAGAAGACATACTTTTAAAATTTTAATAGTAAAAAAAAAAAGGTGTCTCTGTCATAGTCCCTTTCTTTGGCAAATGTACATAAGAAGCAGTGCTGTTGGTTGGAAAAACAGTCTGAGGGCCACTACCAGCTGTCCCCTGCAGAGTACAAAGACTTCGGTAGGTGATGGTGTACAACCCAGTCCCAACTTGCCCCTGGAAAAGCAGGCCATATTGATTGATGTAGTGGGCTGCTGGTTGAGTGTACTCCTGCTCTGAGAGTCAAATTATGACCTTTAGGGTTTGTGCATACCAGTGAGGAATGGAACAGGAATTTAGGTGCCTAAGGCCAAAATTGCAGTCCCGTGAGAAGAAAGAAATTTGTAGCTACTGTTTGGCAGTAGAAACGTCTGCAAGAGAGTGAAGAAACTTTGCACCGTGATGATTCTTAAGCCCCGTGAGTCTTGATTTCTTTAGATTTTCCTTGAGAATGCCTTAATTCACAGCTGCGAGATAGGACTTTTCAAAGACTACAGTGTTAGCCCTGCTTTCTCTCCTGCGTATTGATTAGTAACCCTTTAGAGAATGCTCACTTCATTTGACAGTGTGCTAGGATTTTTAGCCCACTTGCCCTTCCTAATTTTTCTAATAGTTGTTTAATACTGGCCAAACTTGATCAAGTGATGGAAACAAATCCCTCGATTTTTTGGATTTTGGATGGATGAAAGTCAGAATGTGTTAAGAAGAGAAGCAAGAAAAATTGAGTTCTTTTAAGTTCAGTTTAGCAGCAGTCAGTCAGCAGGGCCCAGACATTTGGCTGTACTTTGGAACTAGCAGTGGTGTGTGTTCTCTCTTGCCTAGCTGAGGATGAGATGGAAGGTACTGGAGACCACAGGAGATGCTCAAGATACTGTAGAAGCAAGTGAGATGGTAGCAGCATTTGAGAGGAACTGGAATGAGTGAACCAAGGGTATTGTAATGTGGGGAATCTTGTAAGTAAATGGAGATGTAGGAGGAATAAGACATAGGACACCAGGTTTTGTAAGATCTGTCATGGGACTAGCAACCCAGTTTGTCTGCTTACTTGTGTCTGTATTGGCTTGTTAATCTGCTTTTGTTTGTTGATCTCTTGAAAAATTTTAGGGGAGAAGGTGGGGGTAGAGTAACTTGTGGTTGATTGCAGGTATAATATTAGCACTCACACAAAAGCTAATCATTTGCTAGTACAATTTTGTTCTTAGCTTCTGTCTTAAGTGTATTTAACCTGCACGTTTGCTGTAGTGTAAATTGGTATTTAATTGCCCCAGGGAAGCAGTGGAAGAGGGGCAAGCAGAAGATGAATATGTTAGTTTGAGCTTCCCAGCTTGTCCTCACAGAAAACTGAGGCGGATGCTACCAAGGTCCTCATTTTTTCCTCTCCAAAGTGGATGTTTTCCATTCAGTAGTCTAGGTTATTTGGATTTTTTCATTATCAGCATGGCTTTACGATAAAAGGGAAGAGTAGTCTTTTCCTTTACAGTGTTTTTTTTAATAGTCCCCTACCCCACCCCGAATTAAAATTATTCATTACTTTTCTGTCTTCCGCTATTAATCTTTTAGAGCAGCATATAGAGATTTTGATTCTTGGTTTCATGTATTCAGAATTTCAAAACAAACCAAAAAAGCTATTTGGATAGTGTCCTGTGCAAAGTAAGGCTTCAAAAAGAGTTAATTGTTTTCTATCTTTAGTGTCCTTGCATTAGTCGTTGTGCTACTGACACTGGTAGAAAAACAGCTATTTCCAGCAGTTTGTAGTTGGCCTCCTTCACAAGGTAACCTAGACCTAAAATCAAAGGCTTTTTACGAAACTATAAGGTAAAGGGGTTTTTTGTGTGTTTCCTATCTCAGCTATTGAGCAGATTATCAACTGATATGAATACTCATAGCTCTACTAAATTACATGCGGTTATGCCTACTTACAGAACCCAAGCATCCTGGCCTTTATGATGATAGACACCCAAGATGTGACTTTCATTGCAAACTTGGGTACCCTGTCAAATGTCAGTAGTGAGCCAACAAAACACCTGCTATGTCTGTGTTAGCATGAGCTTGTATTAGTTAGAACTTGTTTGTGTTTTAGCTGCTTTGAACAAACCAGAAATGTTAAGAATCTGGTAATTTATGATGTTTCCTTTCAGGACCTCAGGGCAGAAACCCCACTTGGTGACCTGTGGCATCATGACTTTTGGGGTAGCAAACTCAGCAGCAATACCAGTCATAAGTCATATCGACCACTAACTGTCCTAACTTTCAGGTGAGACTTTTTTTTTCTTTGCTCGAGGTCTGAATTTTTTTAACATATATTGGCTCAATTGATTGAAGGGAGGAGGCAGCAGAAAAGGAGAGAGACAAAGTAGCTGGAGGGTAGTTGGTTACCTTTCCTGAATATGATTTTCCTGTTCACTACCTTAATCTCAAACTGAGTTTTAATTTTCAAATTGTTTCTTTCCCAAAGTGTACATTATTTTGACATTCTGTATTTCAGTGTACCTTTCAGAGTATGTATCTTATGCTCTTCATATACCTCGGTACTAGGGGCAGGATGTTTCAGTATGTAGGTCACATCATCAAAGAACTAGGAGGTGTACATTCCCTTCACTTAGCTGTGTTGCTACTTACACTGCTATTGTAGTTTCTGTTCTTTGCTTTCCTGGTGACCTGTCAAATGATTTTTTTATAAATAGCATCAATCTACTGTGGCCTTTTGCCACTAGGTCACTGAAGAGTCTTCCCACCTCTTCCCCCCTGATATTCTAACTTCAAGTGACTGTGTGTGAGAATCCTAGTGAGAGATGTCTGCCTGTATATATAACCTGCTGTTTTTCTCAAATAACTGAAGTTTTTATGAGGATTACTTCTGTAGATGTATTTTGCACAAAGATTTGAGCAACCAGTAGACAATGTAGAAATTGGGCACAGTAATGCAGAGAATCTTTGAGGACTCAGTCAAGCTTCTTTATTTTCCCCATGCAACTCAATGCTGTGGGTGGGGACCTGGCAGTGGTTCTGCAGTTGTGTCCGGACTAAGCCAGGGACTAAGTGATTGTGGAAGAGGTACTCCCACTCTTAGTCCTCGTATTCGAGTAAAAACTTTGACTCTTGAGTGCAGTGTCAGTGTTTTAAGTACTTAGCATTGTGGGTTTCACCATCTTTTGGGGTTTCGTCACATTATTGTCAAGGAAAATATGCAACTGAATAGAATTATTAAAGCTTTCAGTGCATTACACAGCACATGCTTTCCTTTCTTTTCAAGGTCTCTATGGTATATTCCATCTCTAGTAACATTCTGGTTAGCTTAAAGAGCAAACTGGGATACAGTCATTACTATATCTGAAAATATAGATGAACATGTGGAGATGGTCCATAAAATGCTATTTTCACAAGTAAGAAATTGCTTTTCTTAATTTCCCTAAGCTCCAACTTTTATGTGTATCACATATATAATAGGTTAAGCTTTCTTCGTAGATCTCACTTAAGCCAGATGCAGGCTGACCAAATGAACTGTATAAAATCCCTTATCCAAACTAAGTTTCTGTATATCCCACCTTCTGATAAAAGTATACAGACAATAACAAGACGTTTCTCCCTTTTCTTCTCCCTCTCTGTTTTACCACACAGTTCCTATCTTGCATAGTGTTTCAGACTGAATTTTCACTTACGCTTCCTTCTGGTTCTAATACTTGCATGAAACCTCTCTCTAGCCAGTCTCACAAATTAGTTACTAAGATGTGCTGACTGACTACTTTCTGGATTGATACTGGATTGGACCCAGATAGTTTCTACATCATCAGTCCAAATGCTAGGACGTTTTTCAGCTAGAATGTTAGTGGAAATCGTAGTCTCAGTGCATATTAGTTTCCTCACTGTGTGGATTTAATTAAAATTATTTTATCAGGTTGTTTTGGGACATAGTTTCTCTTAAGCCCTAGGTATTCCCCCAGTAGGCTGGGCTGTTTATCTGTAGGACACTCCTGCAGTGCAACATTGATGTTATGTTGCTGACCAAAAGCCAGTTCTAAGTAGCCATAGGTATGATTAACATAATAGCATTAACGTGTTTTTGGAGAGGATAGATATTATGCTGAATACAGTATCCCATATGAATACTTTTGACTAAAGATCAGGACATTGTTTCTAGCCTCCTGTGGTGGCTAAGTGGTAATATCGTGCATGCTAGGGTTTGCTGGTATATTTCAGCCTTTTTGTGTGTGTGTGTGTCTAATATGATCTTGCTATGGGATTGTTTAGGTTTTCTGTTTGCATATCTCAAACCATTGATGTAATTCCTAGCCTTAAATGTTTTTGTTTCTATATAGAATTAATTACCTTTTTGCTGGAGGCTTCTACCCGGTTGGTTTCCATGTCATCAATATAATACTGCATTGTACTATCTCAGTGTTGATGGTTGATGTGTTCTCGATTTTGTTGGGTGGACTGCAATTCAGTAATAAAGGAAGAAGGCTAAACCTGGCTCCAAAGACATCTCTTCTAGCTGCTTTGCTGTTTGCTGTACATCCAGTGCACACCGAATGTGTAAGTACTGAATAATTAGATCCAACGATTTATATCTTAGAAGTTCTTGACCATCTTGACTAATTAGTTTTGACATAGCCTTATAGTCTACACATTGTTTTTATATATTCTTAATGCTTCTCTTGGCACATGTCTTATGAGAACAATCAAATATTACGGTTGGTACGTCCAAAAGCTTGTAATCTCACGGGGCTGGACCTTATTAAGAAAGATAAATTAAATAATTTAAGTACAATAACTAAAGAAAGATATCCCTAAACTACAGAATTTCCCTAATTACCGGATTAAGAATTCATTACTAGAAACATTAGCTCAGGAGCAGCCAAGGAGAATGGAAGATAAACTGAATGCAAACATATAACCACTTTTCATTTCCATTTGCTTTAATAAAAAACCCAAGGAGACAGAAAATTGGAATAGGGGCATTATATAAACTCTGTGACTGTATTAGAATACTGCATCCCGTTTTGAATCCATGCTGCAAGGAGGACACTGGGAAAAATGGAGAGGGCTGAGAAGAGCCATGAAAATTATTAAAGGGCTGGATATCATCCCATATCATGAGAGATCAAACTCCTTGGGTTTATATTTTTAATATGAAGGAGAAGATGAAAGGATTTTTTTTTTATCATAGTCTGTAATTATGTACATGGGGAACACAAATTTGGTAGTAGTGTGCCCTTTAACAGTGCAGGCAAAAGCGTAACAGTGGCTGGAAGTTGAAGCTGTAAAGATGCAGAATAGAAACATGGCACATGTGTAGCAACCAATTAAAATACCTCACCACAGATCAAAGTCCTTGTGTGGAAAATCTAGTCAAGAGGAGATGGTTTTCTTAAGAAGCTCCTTTGCACTCCTAGCTAAGAAAATCTTATGTCCTTATGCCAATGGGCTTGCTGGATGTGGTCCCTGATTTCTTGATCTTATAATAATGAGTAAATGAGATATAAAATAATCACAATGCAGGAATCTTTTTATTATTATTTTTATTTTAGAGCTTGGAAGGACTGAGCTACTGAAAAAGTATTAACTTTAACTTTGATTTTTGTGCTAGTAATGAACATTGAACCCTTAGTGCACCTTATTCTATATATATGTGGCACTGATTTTTTCATCTATTCACAATATGCCATGGTTTTGGCTTTTTTTCATTTGCTTTGCACATGATTGATGGGGAAGATTTTATGGAAAGCTATGCCTCTCAACTGACTGGGGATCCCCGCGTGTATTGAAAACCTAGAGATGGTGCAAAGCTATGTATTAGCAATCTGGCATTTTATTTGGCAGTGTGGCTAAAACATCCCACCCATCATTCTCTGGTGTTTGCTTGCCTGCAGAATAGCTGCTTAGCGAGATCTCATTGTGGTAGTGTCAGAAGGGCCCCTGGTATTTGTTCTCCAAAACCAGTTCTAGATGTTGAAGTGAAACAAGTCTTCAGTGCTTTTGATGTTATGACGTGTAAAGAGAAATCTCACTTGAGTCTTATCTTTATAGTAGGCTTACTATTGACTCCTTTATCAATAGCCATAATTTTATTCTTCATTCCATTTGACTCTAAAATATATTTAAATCAGCAGGTTAATAAGACCTTGGTCATGTCAAATAAATTACAAGTGACATGGTCTGCTTGCATATGCAAGATTTGAAGACTTGCATGTGCTTTGGGCAAACATTGGAAGAAGAGGAAAAAAGTAGCATGCTTACATACTGTGTCTCTTCTGAGATCTAGGAGTGAAAAAAGGCTTCTAATCATTTACACAGTGAACAGTAAATCTTGGTACACTAAAGCAGTCATGAAACTGCTCTGGTTCTAGCATGAGTGTGTGTCAGGCAGCATCTCTGCAAAAAGCGTTCCTTATGATTTTAAAGCTGTGAGTTTCAAACATCATGACATCCTGGTTTTGAAATGAGATGACATATTTTGACATAGAATTGTGAAGAATCTGTCTGTTTGCTGCTTTGGATTTTGGTATATACAGCACGAAACAAACTGTCATGTAAAACAGATCTTGAAAAGTTTAATGCTTTCAGTACCTATGTAAGAAAAGCATCTGTCGTTATCATTTTTCAGCCTACGAGTAAACGTTCCTGTGGTGTAGTTCTCTCTTCGAAAAAATACTGATTTTCTGTAACACTTGAGTGATGAAACACTAAATGAAACATGGACATAAGAATATACCTGTTCCTAATTTAAAACTGTATTTATTTTGTTTACTTTGTTACCAGAGACTATGGGCCTGATCCTGCATTTGAGATGACATTGTACTGGTGGAGTCATCTGAGGCCATATATATGTTATTAAACCCTTAATCTCTTTGTTGTAACAAGTTGGCATTTATTTTCAAAATTGTCTCAGTTCACCTTTACTTCTATCTCATTAGCCGAGAGCAGCTCCTGAAACAGAATGACACTTCATTATTTTTACCTTTCAAAGCACTCCACAGCTATTGAGTTAATTCTTGTAATTCCTCTGTAAGGTAGAAAAAGAAGCAGGGAAGTTAGGTGCATGGCTTTGGATAAATCGAGAAGTTTTTCTGAACTGAATTTAGGAGTCCAACAGTTTCTCCTTTTATGGTGCTCAAGGGAAGCTGAGGGTAAAGGGGGATAGAGTCTCCTCAGTGGATTCAGTCCTATTCTCATGCCTCTACACCTCTCTTTCTCTCTCTGATGTTATTTAGAAATAGGTGTTCCATCATGTCAGTCTGACACAAAAAAAAATACCCTTTTCCTAGGAGAGGACTAGCAGGTGCTTTTAAACAAAACGAAGATATGATTTATCTTTTTACTTTCCTCTTTCTGTTCTACTCCCAAAATGGGGCAACTGGTGTACTCCACAGAAACCAAAATTTCTGCTTTTGTCCTTGAACCACCACCTCAAAAAGCGGATTAAAAACCAACCAAACAAACAAAAACCAAAAAGGAACCTGTAGCTGTTCTTCCCTGCTTCAGAAAAGTCTCTGTGTACATTTCCTGGAAATGTGGAACCCAGCACTCCAGGAAGCAGAGCTAGACTGAAAACAAAGGGGTGTTCCCATGATCCTTGTTCTGGGTGTATGTTCTAGTGAGGTGCCAACTTCAGGGCCTATACAGTCCCCTGTCACCCCCCTGAGTCATGATTTGCACAAAAAATCCATGGTGTATCCTGACACTTGTGTAATTGAAGAATGAAGATTCAAGAATATGGCATGCTGTGTCTCAGCAAGTTACTGTAAATACAGTTTGAGGGCTTGAACCAAAGCTTGTTGATGGCCCTGAGAATGCTCTTGGTTAAAATAGGTTGGCACAGATCTGGAGTACAGAGGTCCCAGAATGTGCTTCTCATTTTCTTTTGCATTAGTACAGCTTCTGTTACAAGATACAGTTGGAGGTAGCTCTAATGCAATCAATTAATATAACACACAAAGCTGCCAGAAGGGGGATTTTTTTTTTCTGATTCTGCAGGCTGGAAGCTATTTGTCCATTCTGAGTGTTCAGACTGCAATTTGGAGGCTGGCTTGTCTTCTGAAAGTGGACAGTCGTGATTTGCATTTCAGCAGAGCTGCCAGTTTTATTGGGGTTCAAGATGTTTGCTAAGAGTTCTACTGAAAGGCAACCTGATCCAAAAACCAGATGGAATTGGGCAGACTACATTGGTTTTCAGCGAGGTCTTTCTTCATTTCTTAAACCAGAATTTTTTCATAAATTAAAACCAAATCATTTACCTAGTTGATAATAAGCAAAATACAATCAAAATTGGGATGCAGCTTAGAAAACTGGGTATCACTAATCCCATAAACCAGGTTTAAAAAAAAAGTGATACAGCAATAATCTTTTATACATTTCACTTTGTATATGTGTGTGTACCTTTAAGAATAAAATCTTGTAATCTAAAACTTTTTTTTTTTTCTTTAAAGGTTGCTGGGATTGTTGGCAGAGCAGACCTACTGTGTGCCCTGTTCTTTTTGTTGTCATTCCTTGGCTACTGTAAAGCATTTAGAGAAAGTAAGCATTCTGTTTTCCCCTTTAATTTTATATTGCGTCTGTTTTCTGCATTCATACATTTCAGTGAAGTATAGCAAAACTCAAAACGTCAGCTTGATGTGGTTTGAATTTATTAAGGTTTATACCCTGATAAAATATTTTTTAAAAATCTGCTTTAGTAGGTATTGTTAAAAAGCTGGAATGGTTGCTGTCCCTAATCCCCGTTAAACACTAAGACTTTATTTTAAGAAAAGTCTATTTTATAGTAGGCTTACTTTTTAAATATTTTATTGTTTATAAGCATAAAAAAATATTTCAATACATATTTTAGAAAGAACTAAAACCTATAAATATATATTCTTAAATATTTTATTACACTTTATGCCATTATGTTGGGATGGCTTAAATGGGAACAAACTTTAGGAACCTTACTTGTATTTTTAATGAATTTTAAAGAATTATTCATATGAGTAAGCCCTCTAAATTCCTGCAATATGCAAGTGCTGGCATACACATGATGAATATACTGTTACTCATAGAGTGTTTGTAAGACAGCTGTATTTAACATGAGCAATTCCTTCATAGGTGTTTTTTTCAAGTGAGCTTTTAGATCTGTTGTATTATTTGATCTGAATGCAAGTTGGCAGTTCAAATACAGTTGTGGAGAAATTATCTTGGGGCTCTGTTAAATAACCACACAAGAATACATCAGTTCATGATTATGAAAAACTATATGGGACATGCAATCTGGTATCCAAATGTGTCCCACCACAGGAAATATGGGGATCATTTGGTAAACCCAGGAAGAGTTGTGTTGTGAAAAGCTTTTATAATATTGGTTCAGTAGACATGGCCTGTAATGTTTAACCACAGTTGCCAGTGTATTACAGAGGTACCTGAGCTGGCTTTGAATGATCTAGCTTAACGACATAGTCATGGGTGGCATCATAGAGCTTAGTGTAGGCTGAGGGGGGTAAGTTAGTCCGCAGTGAGCTCTAAGATGCTGTGAAGAGCTCCTGCTAATTGAGTTTTGATTAGATTAGAACTATTTTGCATATTTCTACAGCTGATACAAGTTTAACTTAATCCTCACCACTGTTGTGGTTTAACCCCAGCCGGCAACTAAGCACCACACAGCTACTCACTCACTCCCACCCTGTGGGATGGGGGAGAGAATCAGGAGAGCAAAAGCGAGAAAACTCGCAGGCTGAGTTAAAGACAGTTTAATAAGTAAATCAAAAGCCACGCACGCAAGCAAAGCAAAACAAGGAATTGATTCACTATTTCCCATGGGCAGGCAGGTGTTCAGCCATCTCCAGGACTGCAGGGCTCCATCACAGGTAATGGTTGCTTGGGAAGACAAATACCATCACTTTGGACATCCCCCCCTTCCTTCTCTTCCCCTGGCTTTATATGCTGAGCATGACATCATATGGTATGCAACGTCCCTTTGGCCAGTTGGGGTCAGCTGTCCCAGCTGTGTCCCCTCCCAACTTCTTGTGTACACCCAGCCTACTCGCAGGTGGGGTGGGTGAGAAGCAGAAAAGGCCTTGACTATCTGTAAGCACTGCTCAGCAGTAACAAAAACATCCCTGTGTTATCAACACTGTTTCGAGCACAAATTCAAAACATAGCCCCATAGTAGCTGCTATGAAGAAAATTAACTCTACCTCAGCCAAAACTGGCACAGCACTTCAGATTATATTTATGGTGATCACTGTTCACTTCTGATATTTTTTTCTCCCCTTTGAGTAAGTTTCATTTGTTTCAACTGAACTCATAATTCCTTGATGAAAATTGGCCTTGGGATCTTGCTTGCTCATTTATTCTTTTCTCACGTATTTTACTGGGTATGATTGTGCCTTAAAGTCTCTTCTGTTAGTGCCAGAGTAAATTAGACAAATCAAAATATTGGCTATGTGCTGTCCAGTTTGTTGGTACAGGTAGACCTATATGGCAGGTGTAATAATATTGTTTGAAGAACTCAAGAGCCAAATTCTTAGGATGACCATTGGAGACTATTATATAGGACTCTGTAATTATTTTGTTATGGAGGACATATCAGGAATGATTAAGAATGTGATGCGTACCCTGGTTAGGAATATTCTGAGTGCTTGTACAACTTACAAAGGCCGGTTTGATAGCTTTTAGAAGTTAGTGTCATTTTAATAGCATTCTTGTACTGAATTTCTTGTCATTGATACAGAAGAAAGAAAATGTTGTGAAGACAAGATACTCAGCAGCACTTAGTATTTTTTATTGGACATTACATCATAATGGTGTCAGATCTGTGTCTCTTAAGCAGATTTGCCAAGGAAAGCTACAATCTGCCAGCATAGTTGTGCCTGTTATCTTTCAGATCAGTTTTCAATGTTTGCTGTCACCTTCACTGCCTGCTTCTCTCTCAGTGAGTTCTTAAAGGAATTTAGACTTTCTTTGTACTCAAGAATTTGTATCCAAGTTACAGACTTGAGTCTCTCCCAACAGTTTCCTCAATTTGAGTAGCTTGCTGACAGTTTCAGGTTCTTGCAGATCCTATCTGGCATGTCCTAAGTAAGAGAATGAAAAGTTGTTTCCAGCACTGTGAAAAGCACTAATAAGTTCTTTAGCAGATCTTGACTGGAGCCTGAAGGGATGAGCCCAAGCTTCAGAGTATTTCTTTCCTCTGAACCTTACATGATTTGCTGCAGGCTGATGAGCAATGTGCCAAAACCGGGACATTTCAGAGTCAAGGTTTTGAGTCAGAACGGTGTTCTGATTTTGAAATGCCTGGGTGAGATTCATCGCTCATCCTGGATGTGCCTTGCTGCAAAAATCATTTGTTTGTAAATAGAAAGGTGGGTGAGATAGAACAGAATAGACTATTTCAGTTGGAAGGGACCTACAACAATCATCTAGTCCAACTGCCTGACCGCTTCTGGGCTGGCCAAAAGTTAAAGCCTGTTGTTAAGGGCATTGTCCAAATGCCTCTTAAACACTGACAGGCTTGGGGCATCGACCACCTCTCTAGGAAGCCTGTTCCAGTGTTTGACCACCCTCTTGTCCTAACATCCAGTTTAAACCTCCCCTGGCACAACTTTGAACCATTCCTGTGCGTTCTATCACTGGATACCAGGGAGAAGAGCTCAGCACCTGCCTCTTCACTTCCCCTCTTAAGGAAGCGGCAGAGAGCAACAAGGTCGCCTCTCAGCCTTCTGTTCTCCAAACTAGGCAAGTTTATGAGGTCCTCAGCCGCTCCTCACAGGAGGTGCCTTCCAGCCCTTTCACCAGCTTTGTTGCCCTCCTCTGGATGCATGCAAGGACCTTCACCTCCTTCTTAAATTGTGAGGCCCAGAAATGCACACAGTACTCCAGATGAGGCCACACCAATGCTGAATACAGCGGGATACTCACCGGTTTTGACCAGCTGGATATGCTGTGTTTGCACCCTGGGATGGGATTTACTCTCCTGGCTGGCAGGGCACACAGCTGACTCATATTGAGCCTGCTGCCAACCAGTGTCCCCAGATCCCTTTCTGCAGGGCTGCTCTTCAGCCACTCCTCTCCCAATTTATGTTTGTGTCCAGCATTCCTCCATCCCAGGTGCAGAATCTGGCATTTTGACTTGTTAAATTTCATCCCATTAATCATAGCCCAATGGTCCAATCTGTCTAGATCCCTCTGCATGGCCTCCTGTTCCTCAAGACAGTCAACAGCACCTCCCAGTTTGGTATCATCAGCAAACTTGCTAATGGCGCGTTCAACTCCTGCATCCAGATAGTTGATAAATATATTGAACAGGACTGGCCCCAGAATTGAACCCTGAGGAACATGGCTGGTTACCTGTCGCCAGCCAGAGGTAGTCCCATTTACTACAACCCTTTGAGCCCTACCCTTCAGCTAGTTCTTCACCTGTCACACCGTGAACCCGCTCATCCCACAGTTGGACAACTTGTCCAGAAGGAATCTGTAAGGGGACAGTATCAAAAGCCTTCCTAAAATCCAGAAAAAAGTACACCCACTGCCTTCCCTTCATCCACTGGGTGGGTGACCTTATCATAGAAGGATATCAGATTAGATAAACAGGACTTGCCCTTTGTGAACCCATGTTGACTGTGCCTGATGATTGCATTAGTCTTTAAATGCCTTTCAATAGTACTCAGTATAATCTTTTCCATAATTTTTCCAGGAACTAACATTAGATTAACAGGTCTGTAGTTCCCTGGGTTTTTACTCACACCCTTTTTGTAGATTGGAATAATATTAGCTAGCTTCCAGTCAGCGGGACCTCTCCAGACTCCCAAAACCTTTGATACATGATCAAGAGGGGTCCTACCATAACATCTGCTAGCTCTGTCAGTACTCTGGGATGAATCCCAGATTGTCTCCACCACCAGTATCCCTACAAACTTGACTGCCAGCCTCATAAGCCAGCTGAGTTTCACCTTGTGACCATTATGTATGTGGTATTCTCAGGCTTTCCTGAATCTTCAGGAGGTTTCCCTACTTTGTCACCTTAAGCATCTAACTTGGGCATGCAACTTAAAAGTCTTTTCTCCCTGCTCCTTCTGTGTAGTTACCGGAAAGAGACAGACTCCTTTTGATGGCCAGAGGAATAGCTTATCTTAGGCACTTGCAGTCAGCTTCTAGAGGTACCAGAATCTCTCAGTCGGGTAGGAGCTTAGGAAGACTAGGTTTGTAACTTAGGGTGCATTTCCGTTGTCACTTCAATTGGGCAGAAGTGCAGGTGGCTGCCAAAATGGAGCAATTTAGCTTCCTTTTATCATAGATCATAGGGTGAATTAGGTTGGAAGGAAACTCTGGAGGTCATCTCTCGTCCAACAGCTTGAAGCAGACTTAACTTCGTAGAGCAGATTACTCAGGGCCTTAGCCATGTGAGTTGCAAAAATCTTCAAGGATGGTGGAGGAGAGGGGGTGACACATGACCATTTCACCTCAGCCTCTTTTCCTATGTTTTATATTTCTGCCTCCTAGCCATCTTAGTGGTTCTTTACTGGACTTTCAGGTTGTTGATGTGTTTC